TTTAGAGGTTAAGTAATGTTTACCTCAAATTTTTTAACATTTAGATAATAATACACATAATTAGCAATAAGAAAGTCAGTTTCCCCTGGATTAGTTTTTTTAATGCAGTCTTTCTATTAAAGTCTGCTATAAACAATTTAGTACAGTTTTATAATATGTCATATACATTTTGAACATAACATCTGTCAAATCAAATATCTTATTCAAATTCTTATAACTGTCACTGAAATGCTTTCTGATTGCAGATTTTTGTGATTTAATAACATTGCAATTTTTATCCTATAATGCAAAATGGCATTTTATTTTTTTTATTAAGATATGAAAACTTTTAAATTGAAATACACATGACCAAAAATACCTAAAATTCATGTTAACAGTTTACATTTCTATCAATTAGTATTTCTAACAATTATTTTTGTTTAACATAAATTCATTATTGAATGTAAAATAATGTGTTCTGCATTCAATTTGTAAAATGAATTACACCAACAATTGGAAACATTTTATTTGTGTCATCATAATTAGACTTGATCCACGTTTTGCATTAAGATGGAATATTTTACATTTTTTTGTGAATAATCTAAAATTTTTATTGAACCTAACATTAACCTTTGATATTTATCAACGGCAACAAGCTTAATTCTATTAAGTACCAAGAATATCATACTATAATTTTAATATTGGACATTGTAACAAAAAATAAACAGCAAAAACCGAAATATGAACTATATCTAAGGCTAATAACAGAATCATTATTCTGTGCCATCGATATATAAATAATTATGTGATAAATAGCAATGAAAGCTCAAGCTAATGAGATGCTTCTGTACGCTGATCTTGAATGGTGTAATTAATTATAATCATAGCTGAACTGGTAATACATCCTAATAACAAGTTTTAACAAAATACACCGTAACAATAAGGTCAAAAAGCACAAGAATATAGTACAATTTAAAGTAGCAATAATTTTATACACAAGCAATTATTGATTACTATTACAAGTCATTCAGAAATTGTTTTTATTTTGATAAATCATGTATCAACTAATGAGTCTTATTTTGAAGGTATTTGATATCATGTTTTGTATCGAATATTTGTTAATATCAATATCGATAGTGTCAAATGACAACAACAGATACTCATTTAATTCATTTTACTTTATATGTGTATATATATATATATATAATTATATATATATATATATGTAATTAATGAAAAAAAGATTTTAACTTGGCTTCTAGCATAGAAGTCATGATGTTTGCAAAGTTTGATTTAAACAATCAATTAAACAAAATGTAACATTATTTATATCTTCTTAAATCAATATAATTCCTATATATCATTATCAAGTTTTATATTCATATTAAATTACTAGATTAATTGCATTTATTTAATATATTTGACTTATTTTAACTTTTTTTATATATATTTTTTTAAATATTTTTCTTTTAGTTGGGTTCAAAGTTAGTAGCATTGATTTTTATTCAAAATTTTTTGTTGCAAAGCCTTTCATCTATTGAAATTTGTATTTAATATCCCGCACTTGTTAATACTCTTTGTTAAATTTGTCTTTAATTTTTTGGTGATATATTAGCAGTCTTAACTTTTGTAATTTTTGTTTGAGGTATATTATATATTTCCTTATGAATGATGTTAAGTTATCACAAGTCATGTATAACTTTTAATATAAATCTCATACATCTATTATAATTTACTCTGAATTTATTTACAGAATGTGCACGTTCTCCCAAGGAAAAAAGACGAGAGCGCTGTATGGATTTGGAACACAGGACTAACCATGATCGAGGGGATTGTATGAGCTCAGTAGACAAAATATCTAAATGTTCCGGCCGCAATTCTGGTAATTTTATTAGTCTGCTTTGTTTTATATCAAATTAGTGTAAATATTTGGTAACATTTCTACTTAAAATATAATTCTACTGAGGAAACTCTAAGCATATTTTTTGAACCCTATGTACAGTATTGAAAATTATGTCATAAATATCAGTTTGCTTTTTAACAGCTAATTTAATAACTAATCATAATTAGCTGTTAATTACCTAAAGGTTTATTTTGATTCTTAGGAGAGTTTGAAATTCTTAGTGTTATTAAAATATTAATATTAATAAGAGTTGATTAATATACTTTACATTATGGAGCCCCATTGAATGTAAAAAGTAAATTAAATCTTGCACTTAAAACCTTTTTATTTAGTTAAAATACCCTTTAAAACAACAAAGCCCAAATAGAAGCTTCTTTATGTATTTATAAATACAACTAAGTATGTTTATAACTAGTTCATATTGTTTTTGTAATATTATAATAGCACCAAATAACTTTTCCAAATTTTGCACCAAGAAGTTTTGCTTGTTAATAACAGATTAAATGTTAATCATATAGAGTATGCTATGTTCAATAATTAAATGAAGAATTTTAGATGTCTTTGAATGTGGTTTTGTGTATTACAACCGGATTATTATTTAGTTTTATTAAGACTCTACTTCATAATTCTAGGTAAAGGTTCCAGTAATGCAGGTTGTTTAGGAGATAAGGGTATGCAGCGCAATAGCAGCGGGAATTCGAGCGGAACACAAAATAATCAGCCTCCTCTGGATGACCGAGAGAGAGTTATTAGGGTTGGCGACTGGTCTGAGCACCTCAGTTCATCTGGTGTGTATTTGTACAAATAAAGCTAGATTTTTAGTTTGCTATCTAAGTTTGTCATATTTTTATTCAGCTTTCAAGGTGATGTGCAACATTTTATTTTAAATTTGTTTAATGGTTATGTTCTATTATGTTTACGAAATTTAAAGAATATTTAAATGGTTTAACAATAATAAAATAGTAAGCCCATACTTCACTTTGCGTTGTGAAGAGATTAAAAGTGAATAAAATTCTTTCTTTAACAAAGCATATAAAAGATTGTGGATCAGTCTCAAATGCTTCTTTTTAAAAAAATACAAAAATAATATATATTTTTTCACATGGATCATCAGTAAAACAATATAACTAATTCTGTGGCAGTTATCATAAGTGGCTGCTGCTATTTTACTAAGATTGATCCATTATTTGCTGGGCAGGTTTTTTTCCCCTAGTAAAATAAATGTCTTTGTAGTAATTGATATTTGTTGCTACTATCTGGGATGCTTTAAAAGCCCTTCCATTGCCAGGATCATTTTTTTGTCATAATTGGCTACTATTTTACTAAAATTATTGATCCATTATTGCAGGCACCTTTTTTACCGAGTAAAATAAATGTCCTTCTAGCAATTGATATTTGTTGCTACTGTCTGGGATGCTTTAAAAGCCCTTCCATTGCCAGGATCATTTTTTTGTCATAATTGGCTACTATTTTACTAAAACTGATCCATTATTGGCAGGGCAGCTTTTTTACCATGTAAAATAAATGCCCTTCTAGCAATTGATATTTGTTGCTACTGCCTGGGATGCTTTAAAAGCCTTTCCATTGTCTGGATTGTTTTTTTTTGTCATAATTTACTGCTATTTTACTAAAATTTGTCCATTATTTGCTGGACAGGTATTTTTACAAACACATCACTTTGAACATTTGCTTGCAGAGATTTTATTTGACACCTGCTTCATTAGAAGATTGTAATTCCAGTTGAAATCTTGTTTATTATGGAAAAAATCTTAGTTGTACCAGGTTAACAATTATTTGTCAGTCTCTTCCAATATCAGAAAATTAAAAAACAAAAATGTTTGAAGCTAATACAATGCAACATTGACAATCTAATGACCAAGTGAAAATTAGTATAAATTGAGATATGGCGCGAAAACTGAAAATTCAAAATTGAACACCGTCGTAAAGTGAGGTTATGGGTGCACAATTTATATTTTATTTCAAAGTTTTTATGAAAAATACTAAGGCCAGTCATCCTTTTTATGGAGCCTTTTGTCATCTTTTTTTCTCAACATTTTTTTTTACTCTAATTTCATACATGGTCCCTAATGATATCTGTAATGGAAATTACACTGAATTAAAATTTTAAGCCTTCATAGGCAGCACTAGTATTATGACTATGATATATAGAATTTATGTTTCAATTATATACATTTTTTCTTCATAAGAAAGCATTAAAAGTTAGGACATTTATGATTTCATGATCATTGTTCTGTTACAGGTAAAAAGTATTACTATAATTGTAAAACAGAAGTATCCCAATGGGAGAAGCCGCGCGAATGGATAGAGCGCCCTTGTGAGCGAGATCGCGATAGAGAGCGAGAGCGGGAAAGAGAACGGGATCGCGATAGAGAAAGAGAACGCGAAAGGGAAAGAGAGCGGGAGCGAGAAAGAGAAAGGGACCGAGAGCGGGAGCGAGAGAGGGAAAGGGATAGAGATAGAGACAGAGATAGGTCAGAAAGGAATGAGCGCGATAGGGAAAGGGACAGAGAAAGGGATAGGGAAAGGGAGAGAGATAGAGATAGAGGTCCAAGCTTAGGAGGAGGTGTACCAGGAGGTAGTCAAAGAACTAACAGCACCAGCAAGGACCATCGAGATGATCGTGAGGCAAGGTACAGCAATGCAGGCAGTATCCGGAACGGTGGGTGTAATACACTTAATAAGTTTATTACAATTACTTCCTTTTATCTTTACTTTTCAATTGAAGTTTCATCTTAATGTGTTCTTGTTTAATTTTTTTCAGCTCATGACAAACATTCCAGCGCGCGTTTACGTGAATGTATTAGTCGCGGCGAAGCAGGCCTGGTTAGCAGGTCCCGAGGCAGTTGGTGCTCTACAGATGTACCAGATTCTCGAAGAAAAACTGAAGGTAATTTTACAATACGTATTTCTAAGTGGATTACTAATGCTGGAATTTTTGGACAATTATAAATTGTAGGTGGAAAATGATATTCTAAAATAATCTCTGTAACTTAAGGAGATACTCCAGAGTAGAAATTCTGAAAAATAGTTGATCTTATTTGTTATATTTTCAATGGTTAACATATTTAAGAATATGTGTATGAGAGGATTTTAAAGAAATTAGATTAATTTCACAGAGATTCAGCTGTTTGACCATGACCGTGATTGATCTCTTCTGTTTCCTTCCTTTTGCAAAACTTTAAATGTGTTTTTCTCAAAATTGTCTTTTTCAATACGGTGCCCACGATTTCGTAGTTTTACTGGACCAATTTATTTGAAATTTTCAGAGAATCTGTCTCATAGACTTCTCTCAGACGTATACTCATCCCCTTGAATTTTGACAGATTGACTATTTTTAATATTTGTTCAACTAGGAAGGTTGCAATCGTGGGCATTGTCACGAGTCAACCTTTTGAAAATTTCCACATCAACCACTGCTAGTTTTCAAATTATTAACTCTTTTGTTTTAATTTTTTTTGATAATACGTTATAAAACGTTAATAAACGTTAATAAAAAAAATTGTAATAAGGATCATAGTATAAAAATTGATTGCCTGTTTGTTTTTCATGATTTAAAAATGACTTAAAATTCATGCCTAGAATACCACCTTAATTTATAATAGCTAGGTGATTACATTTGTAATTATATTTTCTTACTTTTTCTATTATTGTTATTTTGTTATATTTTATTATTTTTCTAGTATTATTTTATTATTCAGAAATTTTATTTATATTATTTATTAATTTTATTTTTATTATTATTTGCTTATATTCTATATCAAATCATATTACGGATATTATTTTTATGTAAATTTTATCCTTTGCACTTTTATTTATTTAAATTTATGTTATTATTTATCAATATTACTAGATGTTAATAATTTAACAGTTGTAATAATTATTGAAATTAAAATATATATATATTATATATATATATATATATATATATACGAGGTCTGTTCAAAAAGTACCCGGAATTTTCGTTTTTTCAAAAAAATATTTATTTATTCGTCTACATTAATGTGGTCCCCTTCAAAGTAGTCCCCCCCAGATATAATACACTTATGCCAGCGTTTTTTCCAATTTTCGAAGCACCCTTGATATTCACTTTTTGATATGTCCTTGAGCACTCTCAGCGATTCGGCCTTTATTTCTTCAATCGAGGAAAACCGCCGTCCTTTCATGGGTCTCTTCAACTTTGGGAATAGGAAAAAGTCACACGGAGCCATATCTGGTGAATTTTTGCACTTTGCAACACTTTATTTCATTTTTTACGCAAAATTTAATACAAATTCTTTGACTTTTCAATTCTTCCATTGTAAAAATCGCCGAGCTCAGAAAAACACGTCGAACCTTAGCGACTACCACAGACAAAGTAAACAGTGAATATAGCTGAAAATTTCATCATACTTTAGGGGCATGTATACCAACACAATAAAAAAAAAATTTTGACAATCAGACACTCCAGACCCGCGAAATTTAATTATTAGTAATTCCGGGTACTTTTTGAACACACCTCGTATATATTTTCTTAATCATTACAAGTAATTTATTTGTTCATAAATATAATTTTGGAAAATTATTTCAAGGCGATAATACACAAGATATGGACATTTCACCAGGTGACAGCACGCCTACATCTGAAGCTTCCTATGGCCATTTAGGGACTCCTTCAAACAGGCATTGTGGAAATCCAGCAAATGATGGTGACTTTTTTTATTCACCTACTTGGTGTACTTTATTAAATAACTAGTTTTCATGCTAAATAACATGCATTTTTTTAAGAGGACAGAATTACTTTTTTTTTTGCTAAATACTATATACAATTTTCTAACACAATCTTATATATTATTTTGCAGGAACAAGCCAGCCAGGTAATATGATAACTACAGTACTACCGAGATTATCTTCACATCCCGCGACGCCTTGTACAACGAGCACGGTGCAAAGATCATTTAGTAAAACCTCACAATCACCAATTCAAGCAGTATGGGACCCACCATGATGGCTGGATCTAATGCAAGCAATCAAATGAATAGCGTGCCAGGGCCACCGAATAAATTGCCACCACAAATTAATGGTACATTTTCTTTCATTATTTTCTGAATTAGTAATATTTTTTTAACCATACTTTTATATGCTACACCCAAGTAATAATAATTGGTGTGGGTTTTTATTATTTCTACAAATATATTACATGCTGTTTAATGACATTCTGTAAAAAATAATTTTTTAAATATGGTTTTTAGAGTTTTACTACTGCTTCCAAATAATATCATAATTATAAAATTACAAGATGACCGGACAGATGTTGTCTTGTACCCAGGTCTACAATTTTTTAATATCCTTTACTAACATTCACCGTTTACCTTAAAATAATATTTCCAGTTTTTAAATTATTAGTCTTTACAACAAAATGCATATACATCAATTATGGGAGTCTCAATTCCTATACTAAATTGGAAATTGAAGTTTTTTAAACGGCATAACAAATTTAGAAAAAGTTAATAAATAGTATCCACAGTAAAAGTTCAATATTACCTTGGATTTTTTTCACCTAAAAAATTGCTTAAATAATGTTGCCCATAAAATTTCAATAATAATAATAATAAATTTTAACTGGTCTTTAGTAATTACAATATCTAAAGTACATTTTTCTTAGTAATAATGTATTTAATTATTACCAGGCTTGCTCATGGGGTCCTCAGCACCCGCATGCCATTTTTTTTTCTAGCGCCTTCCCTTTATTTTACCTGTTTTAACAGTTTATTATTAAAATTATTTCAATTAATATTTGGTTTTTGAAACATTTTCTTATTTATTGTGGGCATTTTATGCGATTTATTTTATCGACCAAATCATAGAGAGCAAATAAGTGCTAGCTTTTTATTATTAAACATAACCATAACATAACACTGTTATGAACTTCATGTTGGATTATTTTAATATAATTTTTTATTTTTTAAGATATCCAAAATTGCATCTTAAACTTCTGCTAATTGATATTGTAATGGTCGAGTTGTATGTATTCTTCTTCACTTTCCCATTTGTTGTTTTAAAGTGAAATTATTATAATCTCTAATATTGTGCAAATATTAGAGAAAGTTGTAAGAAAAATATATTTTTTGAATTATATTTAAAAAAAAAAAAATCGGGATATTGGCGCCCCTTAAAGCGTGCGCTCATATTTTTCGCATGCGTCGCATTCAAAGTAGGACCGGCCCTGATTATTACTTAATTTCATATTTTAAGTGAATTAATTTGTCAAATCCGTTCATATGTGTATCATTCACTCTGCTATACATATACTGTATCTTATATTATTTTAATTTCTGTCACATCTCAGCTGCTTTTTGGCAATAATAATGTAGATATTTCATTTCATTCTCCATTTCATTCCATTTTATTATTTATAATCATGAATTTATTATACATATTCTAATATTGTCTAGGCTCATAAGTTGATTGAAATTATTGGCAGATGACAGTTTTCAAACAATGACATGTACAGCCTAAAAAAATCGCTTAACAAACTTCAGAACGATTTATCAAAATCCGAATAATCGTTTAGGAGGAGTATATTTACATACATCATTATAGAAGAATTGTATATAAGATATATAATACATTTTTGAAATTAAGATTTTTTAAGCTTGAGCTCATTCTACATCACTGTTCCATCATTTTTCAGCTTCTAGCAAGAGTACTGATCAGCCCGAGATGAACTCACAAAAAATGCTGCAGGGCATGCAGAATAATTTATCGCAGTCTGCATGTACAAGTTTGAAAATTGACACAAATGTTGGAGTGATTGGAGATGGTCCCCCTACGCCGACGCATTCAGAAAATCCAGATGCATTAGATAGAATAAAAAGTAAGTTTATAATAAATTTTACAGAAAACTATTAACAACATTTAATGTTAAAATTAACTGTAGTTTATTCATACAGTTTTTTCTTTTTCTTGTTTGATGATACCACCCTTTAGTAACATCATTATATTATCATCAATAGTGATTTTTTATGTATTACCTAATTTTCAGCCACACAATCAAAATTTTTGTGGCTCAAAGTGTATAAAATACTTCTGAATTATTTCTAATTTTTTTGAGAAAAATTATTTTTAATAAATTTATATAAGCGAATCCCCTGCTGTTTAAAGATTAGAAACAAATTATAAGTTCTTACTCTCATTTTACAGCAGAAATCCCCAGCGTAAATAGCGTTCCCAATTTAAGTTCTCTGCAGGGATTATCACAAAGTTCTGCGGTCGGAATGGGTAGTGCATTAGCTGCTCTACGACCTCAAGGACCAAATCTGACTCCCGGTTTAGCCAATCACTGTCGGCAAGATTTATTAGGGCATGTTCAAGGCTGGCCTGCTGATGTATTAGAAAAACAGGTAAGAAATAAAGTTATTTCAATTTCAATGAGCTATAGATAAGAATAATGAGAGCTTTATTCTATTTTTAATTACTACAAATTGTATTTAGTTATCAGGGTATAATTGTTATATTAATCTGAATATCGTTATAAACGATATTTAATCAAATTTTCGATTTTGCAACCAATTTAAAAATAAAATGACTTAATTTTCGTACCTTGTCGAAATTTGTACTGTCCGCGAAGAACGTGTTAAAAAAAATCTGTTTCATGTTGATGGTCATTATGTTCAATCAGCATTTTATTTTGATTTTTATATATGTATGTGAACAGATTTTTGCCGTATATCGACGTTTTCTCAAAAACGGCTGGAGCGATTTCAAAAATTTAAGACATTTGATGTATCTCGATGAGGACTAGCGTTTCTTAGTTTTGTGCGACGATCGGCCGAGACGTTTCTTTGTTATTTGAAAAAATGTTAAACTTTTCGTCCACATTAAAGCTCATACTACCGAATCAATTTTGAAAACTCAAACTGTTCGAAATATATTAGTTGGTAATGCTACTGATCAGTTTTAGGTGAAAATCTACTGATCCATTTTCTTGCAATTAGTTGAAAAAAAAATTAAGCCGATTTTTATGGAACTTTTTTTTGCGATATATATCATGGTCTTATAGATCTTACTGAAATATTTCGGCCTTACGAAAAGTAGTTTAATTTTAAAAATTCATCAAAGTTTGAGAAAATGAGTAGTTTCTTTGACGTTTGTCTAATGATAGAGTACTTGGAGAATTATTAATATCCGATTATAATGATATATTTTTTCTCATATTGTTAACAATTTTGCTTATTGTTTTCATTAACATAATGTAGAATAGAACAACTAAAAATGTACTGTAATGTTCCAATTATTGATTTCTTATTTTAGTCACATAACAAAAATGGATTTTTTACTTTAATTTTCTTAAGTACGTTATTTAATTAATCAAATTGTTAATTAACATTTTCTATTATGATTCTAATTACTAACAGATCATATACATTTTAATAATCTTTATTCTTCTATCTTTATCAGCCTTTTTGAATGAAATCAATTTATTTTTAATTTCATGTAAATTTTTTGATGAACCTCATTTTTTTTTTCAGGCTAATAAATTTACAGAAGAGTCACTGACTATGGGTAATATCCAATGCACAAGGGTATCTGCTGATCTTAAAATAGCTAGAAGTATAGTTAGACTTACAGAAATTCAAGCCACTTTACAAGATCAAAGGTATTTTTTAATTTTCTATATTATCTATTCACCTTATTCAATATGTGTTGCTCATTTCTGTTTGAAGTGATTTTTTTTCAATGTCAATAATTTTGCTGTGAAAAAAAGTACATAAAATCAAAAGTGTTTCATTAGATTCAGAATGACTTGAAACATAAAAGTAGCAAAACGGATTTTTTCGCGTAAACAAAGTTCTTCTTCGGGAGTAAATAAAACTGGTGCTGAGTATAAAGGTATATGAAAAAAATAAAAATCTTCCATTCAAAGGACCTCCATTAAAAAATATATTTATATTTGTAGTCTATTATTTAAGTCTCGAATAAATACCATATTCTTTGATAATTTATATCAAATGTCTAATATGGATTATTTTGCAAGCTAATAATTAATGCATACAATTATTATTTTCAGATTGATGTATTTGAGGCAACAAATTCAAAGACTCGAGGACCTAAAGTCGCAGAACTCTTTCTCCAAAATGTCTGAAGACTTGTAGTGATTGTGCACAGATGTTTTAATTTTTCTATTAAGGTTATATAAATAAAAGTAAAAATATTAGGATAAATAAATGAAAAAAAATAAATAAAATTGACAAAAAAAATATATACAAAACATAAATAATTTTATTGTTCTTATGGACTATCATCAATTATTAGCTAAACTTAAAACCCAAATGGAGATAATGGTGTGCATCATTTCCCACTTTTTAATATAGTTAGATCTAAAACAAAAAGTGATGTGTTTGTTTCTGGTGTTCCTTTTAATTTGGACAGCGTTTAGAGATGTAAAATCGATGGTGGAAGTGTAATATGTGAATGTTTTTTTATTGGAAGTTGTCTAAAAAATAATAATAATAAAATAATGTTCAGTTAATATTTGATTTGTCCAAAACACTTTCTGTTTTTATCAACATCTTTGATAGATTGATAATTAACTGTGATGATTTTATCGTTTTACAACTTTTTCACATATGCGTTGTATTTATTTTAATATTATGATATATAAATGTTTTACCCGGACACAAATGTTCATAGTTTTCTAAGAAGTTTATTTTTTATTTTTTGTATACATTAGTGATGATAATAATAGGTACAAATTGATTTTATTTTAATGATTATGAAAAATGCTGTAAATGGAACAAAAATTTCATTATGAATTAATAATATATGTAAGACAAATGAAAGATGTGAATTGTGTTCAAATTGATTGACTTCAATTATATTCTTTATGATGAATATTTCATTTTTACATTCTTATATTGATGATATTTTTGACTTGGAGATAAACTCAGCAAAATGTGAACATTTATGAAATTCCACAATCTAATACATGTTTATTTTAAATATTCGCAGCAAACTAGAATTTGTCAAACTATGAATGTGAAACATTGTTAATAATAACTTATTTATAACAAAATGCATTTTCTTAATTAATCGTCATTGTTTTATAGCTTTTATTGAAAAACAAGCACTTGCACATGTTTGAATTTGCTGACAATCACAATGACTTTAAATTGGATCTAATAAGCACATTTAAGAATAATTTTCATTTAATGTTAACTTTTTGTAAATAAATTAAACATACTGCTTTTCCTTGGATGTTCTGATAAATTAGAAATTTTTACTTGTATATATTAATAACTGATCTTGTGACTTGGTTCAAACCTAGACTTGTAATGAGTTTGTAATAATTTGAGTATTAGAAGATAAAGGCCAGTTAACTGTATTATTATGTTTTAAATTGGTTCCTTGAATTAAAGTTAAGATTGACTGCTAAATTCGCTTTAAATTTGTGCTGAGATATAATAACCTAGCCTTGTTTAATATGTCTTGTATTTATTGTATTATTTCAGATATCTTTAATCTGTCATGATATTATCTAAAGTTACCTAAATTCTTGGTTGAGTGACTGTATCATAATTGCCCTAAAACGGTGTATATTATGAACTATGAACTTAAAAATAAATTTTAACTAGGCGTAAGTGGCGTTTTGCCATATGAAAATTTGCCATATTTGTCACAATTTAAAATTGCGACGATATAATTTTGAAATTTTGACGCCGCTCATTCCAAACATTAATGATTTTTTTTTATAATTAAACCACTTTTCGTAAGCTGGTAAAATTTAAGCATGTCTTAAGATGTTTATTGTTATGAATAGTTTCCCAAAAAAATGGTGAAATAATCTGGCCGATCTTTACCAAAAACTCATCATCACGTTTTCCACTTTCGAATAGATTTCTAATTTTGGAAATAGATTCAGGAATATTGGCTACATCATGGTCGAAATAATTTGCATTTTTGTGCAAAAACTCTTCAACGGATTCTATGACGGCAAATAAAATATTTTTTTAAATTTTTGCAATCAATATTTGAAATGCAGTAAATCATAAAAATTTAATCGATAAATCATACAAGAAAAAAAATACTACATCTCTATATTTATATTTGATAACTTCTCATAGGGTAGTTATAGTAATGGGCCGAAAATCGAAAATGAAAATTTTTGCATGTCTTCACGTTTTAGAGGTTTCTGAACATTTTGGCATACTTCAGAAAAAATTGATGTGTTTTAAATGTCCGAATTTTTTTGTCCACGTTTTCGGGCGGATGGATCAACCGATTTGAATGGTTCCAAAAACATTCGATTCCTGTTGATAGGGAGATGTGCTGATTAGTTTTTGGCAAAGGCAGGTTCAGCCGTTACGGTGATACAGAGCAAAGGGTGCCGAAAATAGAACTCGAGTTTTTGAGAGAATGGAGCATCCGATTTGAATAATTTAAAAAACATTCAACTCGTAATGATGGGGAGAAAAGGTGATTAGTTTTTGGCAAATGCAGGTCTAGCCAATTCGAAGATACAGAGCTAAATGTGCAAAAAATGGCAGAGTTTGAAAGAACTAAGCATCCGATTTGAATGATTCAAAGAACTTTGCGATTGTTTTAACAAAATAATTGCTTTAGGAAAAATAATTTTGTTAAATTTTTTTTTTCATAATTTTTTTTTTTGTATATCGAAAATAATTCAGATTTTAATTTTAATTCTGACTAACGTTCTGATATACTTTAAACAAATAATTTCAACTTTGCAATTCAGCTTATATAATTCTTATAAATATTAGACAATGTTACAATATTTATAATAATCTATTTGAAAACATTTAATATTCCTCGAACATTTTGTTACGGTACGGGAAGTTTCAGCAATTTGCCTTAACACACGACGCCATACACCACTAGTTTATTAGTCATATGGAACAAAAAGATTACATAAGCACAAAATATTAACATATTGAATTGACTGTCGATCATCTGGATCTCTCTCGGGGTTCTGTTATACAAAATGTGTTTTTATTCTTTATTTATGTTATAATATTGTGAATTAAATTTTATTGGTCTTATTATTTTTTATTTTTTATCCCAAATCAGTGAAACGAAATTATACTCCGGAATGGTTGGCGTTAGAAGTTGCTACGAATATTAGTAATAGTACGAAATAAATTCTCTAAAATTATGTAAAAAATTGTTCATTTGGAGTACACAAGGATTAGACTGCTATTAAGATAAATTCGTCATGAAGACTTTGTGGACTTACGGCCTTGATATATACGTAAGTAAGTTTAATATTGTTAGACTAATTTGCAGAGAATACAGTCAAAATTTTTAAGAAATATTACAGACACACCTTGGTACGTCTCCAATATTCCAATCCATATATAATAATGACTTGAAAATACCTTAAGAAGATGATATTAAATATAAAAGCATCAGTTTTTACACATCACTAATTAAGTGTCATCCAAGTCAGTTACCAAGACGGCAGTCAGTCTCAATTCAGTTCAGTTCTCAATTTTCCAGGTATCAGAAGACTCAAAAAATGTTGGCGTATGGACCAACCAATTAATTAATTGGTATAAATTAATTTATTATTATTATTATTATGATTATTCAAATAAATATTATTAGCTTTATTTCAATACTATCATAATGGATTATTAAATTGTGTTATTTTTATTTGTTTACAAAGTTTGTTCAGCAAACATCCGATCGGAGTAGATGGCGTCGCTGGTTCATGCTGATACATTCCTAAAGGAGTAGTTGGCGCTCGGCAGTCAACGTGTTACCTGCAACCTGTGACTACCATTCAGATTTGATAAATTCATAATTTTTTTTGTATTTGCAAAAGGCTCAGATAATGCTATATCTAAAAGTCACAAAATTTTTGTGAAGCGTATTGTAAAAGTGTTAATAATTTCGTTAACATTAAGTCTTTCGTCGTCAACAGTTTTAGAGTGTAGTGTCGAAAATTTTGTGTTTTTCCATGTGGTTGCGCAATGTATTTTATGAGTGATTTTGACGTAGTGGTTTGCATAAAGTTAGCATCCAGTATCAGGACAACTCATGAAATCATGGTAAGTCGACAAAAGTGTCATGATTTATATTATTTTAACTTGCTACTTTTATTTGCAAACGATTTTCACACTTACTTAAGTAAGAAGTAAAACCCCGTTAAGACAATTTTCCAGGGACCGGGCTGAAGACGCGTTTTAATCGAGCAATAAGTATATAAGTAATGCGGGGTAAATATATCAAAATAATGTGCCAGTCTGTGCACTTTGTAAATAAGAATATTGTTTTGAGCGTAATCGTCTTAACAGGGTTCTACTGCATTTATAACACAATCTTCAATATGTTTTTTTTAAATAATATTTACATTGCGCATTACAATAACATGCGTCTACTATTAAACATATATAATTAGTGCATTAAAATAAATGTTTTTCGACTGATTACATATTACAAATTTTGAAAGTTGCCAGCGTTTGATGAGAGGTACCAAAGTGAACCTTTTCTGGATTCCACGTGGTCTAGTGGTTAGATCTGTGGTCTTCGAATAAAAGGTTCTAGGTTTGATACTAGCATCGAACAGTCTGAATTATTAATAAAATCTAATTTGTTTTTTTATTTAATAAAATTAATAGAATCCAAACGCTTACTGGCTTACGGGAATGCAACTATGTGATCTTAAAATAATAATTATTCTATGCATAATTTTATTAACTTCCCAAAGGAGAAGTTTATGTTTTCATAAAAAAATTCGCTAATTTTACGTTTTCTCGACGTTTCTGAATCGAATGAGACCAAATTTGTAAAAAGACGTAAATTGACGTTTTCTCCGAATATTTGGCATTCCTTAGAAAAAATGGATGTATGTGTGTATGTGTGTGTGCGGATACAATTTTTCGTCGACGATTTCGGGAACACCAATTAACCGATTTGAATAATTCAGAAAAAAACGTTCGATTGGTATTGATAAAGAGACGTGTTGATTAGTTTTTGGCTAAGGCAGGTCTAGCCGTTCCGAAGATACGGGGCAAAAAGTGCCAAAAACGGTAACTCAGTTTTTAGGCGAACGGAGCGTCCGATTTTAATAATTCAAAAAACTATTTTCTTGCATTGACAAGATGATTTTTGGAAAGGCAGGTCCAGCGGTAATGGACTCTCAAAAAAAATAATTTAAAAGAATGTCATTTGGCCGTCAAAAATATTTATTGGACATGTGTACATCAAGCTATCAGATATTTTATAGAGATTATAATAATGTGTACGCATTTTGTGTAAATTTTTTGGGT